TTTTTTTGTCTTAATAGAATAATTGAGGAAAATAATGGAAAACCCCCACTTACCTATACCAAGTTGCAAGCAATAGCGAAGACGATTGGTCCCCCTAAGAGACCAATCCCTGCTCCAACCATGGACGATATGAAAGGTATCACAATACCAGAAAAACAGACTAGTGTTACTGAATTGTCAGACAAAGTTATTTGCAATGATGTATGGACATTTATCTAAAAAGCAAATGTCAACATTTAGAAGTGATTAGATTAAATCTATCCCCACTGTCAAAGATGTAAAGACACCATCCTCAGAAAACCACGAGAAGGAATATGGGATTCCTACACTGGAGGAGCTCGGCCTGGACACTGCTCCTCTTGGAGAGGATCTGTTTCCCGGAGGAGAACAGGAGGCTCTCAGGAGACTAGATGAACATATGAAAAGAACGGTAAATTAGATTCACATCTACATCCTGTTATTTGCAGGATTGTAACAACAGACATGCCTACCTTCTCTGAAACATTTCTGTGTATGCCTTTCAGAAATGGGTCTGCACCTTTGAGAAGCCACAGACTTCTCCAAACTCTTTGAGCCCCAGTACAACTGTTCTCAGTCCCTATGTCACCTTTGGATGCTTATCAGTCAGAACCTTCTGGTGGAGACTCACAGAGGTGTATAGAGGGGTGAGTGATGCACTTTACATACAGATATTGTAGTTAATAATGGTAAGGAAAATTATGCTGTAGTATTGTTTAATACATTTCAACAGGAAAGAAACTGAATTAATCATTGCCACTTCAAATATTTTCCTTGTGTGATTCCTGTGGTGAGAGACTGTACGTGCAATGTGCTTGTATTTGCAGTAATCTTTGTCTTTGACTTGTGTGATTTTTGCAGAATAAACACTCAGATCCTCCAGTTTCTCTGCATGGCCAGTTACTCTGGAGAGAGTTCTTCTACACAGCCAGTTTGGGCATTCCTAGCTTTAACAAGATGGAGGGTAACAGCGTGTGTACTCAGGTGGACTGGGACACAAACCCTGATTATCTAGCTGCTTGGAGAGAGGTATTGAGATTGAGTCCTTGAATGAAGTGTCTCTAGAGAAAATTGATGGTGCGAGAAGAGGAGTTTTCATGTTGATGTACTTATGCAATTGTTGTTAAATGTGGAGTAATCTAATTTTCTGTGTCATAGATGATTCATTGTTATTTCGCACTCTCCTTAAAGGCTCGGACTGGTTACCCCTTCATTGATGCTATCATGACTCAGCTCAGGCAAGAGGGCTGGATCCACCACCTGGCCAGACATGCTGTTGCTTGTTTCCTTACTAGGGGAGACCTCTGGATCAGCTGGGAAGAAGGGCAGAAGGTCAGCTCGCAAAGGCTGCAGCTGCTAATATCACAAATATTACAATACTACTGCTGCTAATAGTAATTATTATTAGCTATACACAACACTTGTGTGTTTTTTTTTCTATCATGAGTCCAGCAGTACATATGCTAAATCAGTATGGTACCTGTAACATTTTCTCACTGCTCATGAAGGTGTTTGAGCAGCTTTTATTAGATGGCGACTGGGCTTTGAATGCTGGAAATTGGCAGTGGCTATCAGCGAGCACCTTCTTCCACCAGTATTTTAGGGTTTACTCTCCAGTGGCCTTCGGGAAGAAGACAGACAAAAATGGAGACTACATCAGGTAAGATCTATCAGCCAAACGTATTACCTAAACAATTCACATTCATTACATGTATCGTTTCAAATGATTTAGCATTTCTCCTATGTTTACAGGAAGTACCTCCCTCTTCTGAAGAAGTTCCCAGCAGAATATATCTATGAACCTTGGAAAGCTCCACGCAGTATCCAGCAGGCAGCAGGATGTATTGTGGGTAAAGACTACCCACATCCCATTGTACAGCACGAAGTGATCAGCAAGAAAAATATTCAGAGGATGAAACTTGCTTATGCCAAGAGATCCCCAGAGTCACCTAGCAAAAGCAAAGGTACTGCAAGAAACATACAGGAGCATTATGTCCTTTTATATTAGTCATGCTTCAACTAAATTCTGTTTCTTCTTTTGTTTTTATTTCTTTGTTTTGCTCCAAGGTGTAAAGCGGAAGGCTCCATCCATCATTGAAATGATCAAGAAGAAAGCAAAAGTAAAGTAATTAGAAATCATGTTCACGTTTTGGTATCTTTCCAGTACTTTAGTTTTATCTCAGTCCACAGTTTTCTATATTGTGTTTTTATTGGGATTTTCATTGGTTATTTTTTTTATATCATTATTATTGTTACTTTTGATGTTGTATTTATGTCAGTGTTTAAAAGTCCCTCTTGGATTTAAAAAAGGTCAGGTGAGAGACTGCACAGAGATTAGGTCATGTTTTCTAAAGGTTAATAACCTTGTGTCAAATTGTTATTATGTTACATAGGGAAAAAAATAAGCAGGTCTGAATGTCTCCATGTTAGAAGGTTGTAAAAATAGACTTAAGTTAAAAAACAAAATTAATGCAGACAGTAAATATGGTAGATATGCATTAAC